TATTGTATTTCACCCGTTGATATACTTGGTCTCCAGTCAATGCCTTTAGAGCATTTCCATACTCCTGTTGGCCAATGAAAGCTTTTTTAATCTACAATAAGGGTGATTCTGTTCAAGAAATCTTCAATGGCCTAGATAAACTGTCTTCCTCCTATGTTGAAGTTGATAATGACACGTGGCTTCTTCACAAATAGGACATGCTTTATGTCCATTAATACTATATGCAGACAAGTTTTCATATGCAGGAAAGTTATTTATGGTGTAAAAGAGCATTGCATGCATTTTAAAAAGCTCCTTTCGATTTGCATCATACACTTCTACACCTACCTCCCATAACTTTTTCAGGTCTTCAATCAAAGGTGCTAAGTAAATATCAATGTCATTTCTTGACTGTTTTAGGCTTGAAATTAACATGGATAACATCATATACTTGCATTTCATACAAAAATGAGGGGATAGGTTGTAAATCACTAAGAGCACAGGCCATGAACTATGTGTATTGTTGAGACTAGTATAGGGATTCATTCCATCAATTGAAAGTCCAAGCCTAAGGTTTCTTGGTTCATTGCCAAAATCAAGAATAATTTATCAATCTTCTTCCATTGCAGAGAATCAGCCGAATGATGAAGCTTATTATCAGAGATCCTCTCATCCGTATACCACCTCAAGTTCTTCGCATCCCTTGTATTAGCAAACAAGTACTTGAACCTTGTTATAATGGGAAGATACCTTAATACCTTTGTCAGAGACCCCTTCTTATTGTATCGTGGTGTTGCACATTTAGGACATTTGTCCTCTCCTTCAAACTCTCTTTTGTATAATATGCAATCATTGGGGCAAGCATGTATCTTCTCGTCCTCTATGCCTATTGGACATAATATTTTTTGCATCATAATTATGATCCAGTAGTTTATTACCTTCTGGAAGCACATCCTTCAACAACTGAAGCAACTCAGTGAAATTCTTGTCACTCAATCCACTTTGTGCTTTAAAGTGGACCAATATAACCATTGCTGACAATAATGTATATTTCAAGCACCCTTGATATAGAGGCTTCTCTGCATTACTATACAATCCTTCAATCACATGTGATTGTTCAAATGTCTCTACTCTAATGTCACAAATCAGGTCCTCTATATGATCATTCATATCCACATCATCATGAACTTCATTCATTTTCTCTTGTTGGGACGCATTTGACTTTCCTAACACTTCACCATACTATATCCAACGAGTGTAACTCTTGCAGATCCCATCACAAATAAGATGCTCCTTTATTTGTGGAGCACTTAGTCACCTCAGATTTAGACAATTTACGCAAGGGCAATGATGTGTAATACTTTTAGGAGAATTTATTTGAGAAAATTCTAAAAACTCATTCACCCCATTATCATATTCATCACTCATTTTTTTAGCATTCATCCAATTATGATTCATCATTTATAAATTCCCTAAGAGGGAAGGTACGAAAAAAAATTCACATTAAGGAATAGCACAAAAATTTGATAGACTGTCCCCTAATAGTTGGACCTTTCCATAATTTTATATTGACAATCACAACATTTAAATTTAAAAACATAAAAAGTAATAACAACAAACCTATGACAAACAATTGATTGAGTAGAGAAATTGTAAAATATATAAATCCTTATCATGAAATAAAACAACTCTACTTTTAATAAACATAAGAAATGATCATTAGTCAATTCAATGCTAAGTTCACTAGTATATTTATTAGTTTATTTTACCAATTATGCAGTCTCTTGTCTTATTCTTATTATTGCTCTGTTTGTTCAATCAAATAAATTAGTTTAATATATGGCCAATTCACTAATTTTTTTTAGTTTGATCAGAATAGTGTTGAACATAGCATATTGCATTAAAAATAAAGGCCTTTAAAAGTTTTCTTGGTAGCTTTCATTTCTACATAACAAAAATTTTCACTCTGATTGCTTGAGATTCATATCCACTTTGTACAATTTTGTTAATTTCATATTCTCAAATCATTACTTTCACCTCAGCTAGGAGCTCTTGATACATTAAAAAACTAGTCCTTATTACACAATCTAGTTAACTAAGGTAAAATTGATGATTTGAGAATATGAAGTTAATGATTTTAATGCATGTTTTCAAAGAAAAATTGGTCCCTATTACACAATCTAGTTAGCTCATTTTGATTCACAAGCATGACATGGGCATGGATTTAATTATGATAAAAAATCTTTTGTGGTTGCTTAAAGAATTGGTTGGCACTATGCCCTTCATCTATATAAACAAGTACACTGGGATGTGATTTAATTATAAAATAGAATGAAAAAATGACATCATAAATAGCAAACAATAATAATAATAATAATATGAATGGCATTTATGGGAGGTACAAGTCATTTATAAAGGGGCATATACATTTATCTCATCTTCCAATTTATGGAATCTCCCTTTAACGTGAAAAGGCAACTCAACAAGATGTGGACACAATTTACGATGACATTATTTCACACGCACACAAATGAACACATTAATTTTTTTTAACCTCTCAATGAAAATATCATCTTAATAAATCTATTTATATTTGGGGGGTTAAATGTACCAATAAAAAAGTAGGTCCATTTTAAACTTTCAATTAGAATGAGCTATTTAGACACACAAATTCTTTTTAGAATCATTGGCTAATAGCTCAGCCTGCTAGAAAATGCCACATTAGGCCCCCCATTTTAGACCTTGGAAAATCTACTTGGGTTAACTTAAAAGTTTATATGCCCAAATACAAATCATTTATCTATCTATCACTATCAATCTATCTAATTTAACTTAAAATTTTATTGAGCTTGGCAACAAAATATATGAAGAAAATTTTATATTTCAAAAATTATATTAAAAAACTGGTTATTCAATTTGAACTAGTTATTAACTTTTGAAGATATGATATTTGTACAATTAAAAAATAATTTTTAAAAATGAACAACACCCACTAATAGTTTTCACATTATATCAATAATAAAATAACACTACCAATTCAATATTTTCACAATGAAAAATTGACAAATAAATGCAAAATGAAATTTAAAAAATATTTTGGCAGAGTCTCCTCTAAAAGTTGAACCTCCCAAACTTTATTTTACTTAAATAATCACATAAAGCATATAATGTAGTGATTTTAATAGCAACAACAATTTTTTTTTTGGATAAAAAAGAGGCCCAGCCAGATTAAGTTAGGGTGGGATTATTACAATCAGCTAAAAACAAGGAAACAACATTAGAGGGGGGAGTAATGATCTGGTGACAGCAACAACAATTTTAATGAACTAATGTACAAGAATTATGTATAACCTAAAATTTTCAATAGCCATTTCAAACAAAAAATAATTTAAATACAGATAAATGAAGAAAATAAATGAAGATAAAAGGTTAAAAAGCTTACTTTTAACGAGGCTTGATCAAAAATCTTTCAGAGAAAACACCCAAGCACAAATCTAATTTTTTAAAAATAAATAAATAAATAAAGTTGCGGGGCTAAGATTTTTGTTTTGTTTTGTTTTAGATCGGGGTTTAAGGACTTGAGGTAGGACGCTGGGGGTGTGGGGTTGAGGAAGGGGGTGTGGGGTTAGGCAATTGGGGTGGGGGGGTGGGGGATTTTGGAAAAGGGAACGAGGTGCGTGGGTTAGGGGGGATTTTAGGAAAGGGAACAAGGAAAGTGGTGGGGTTTTGAGGTGGGGTTGGAAATGAGGAAAGTGGGGCCGATGTGTGAGTCATGGGGTGAGGTGAGGGGAGCTGTGGAGGAGGGAGGGTTATGCGTGTAGTGAGAGGGAAAAGGGAGAGTTGAGGGATGAGGGAGAGCTGCACTGAGGAAGAGGAAGGGTTGAAGAAATTGTTTGAAATTGAAATATTTTTATCTTTTTTTTTTTGAAAAAACTAAGACTATAAAAACTGATTTTTTGGGAAAAAAATTTCAAATATTTTTTACATCATATACTCTCTACATGGTGTAGAAAAAAATTTAATTTCTTTTATTTATGTTATAAAAAAATTTCAGGCACTTTAGTAAGTTCAAAGAGGTGTAGAAGCTAAATTTTCAAAAAATTTTCAAACACTTTTTATACCGAGGAAACTCCACTTGGTGTAAAAAAATTAATTATTTATTTTTTAAAAATATTTTAGTTAATTTCTACACCAGATAAACTCCACCTGGTGTAGAAAATTTTTCTAAATTTTTTTATTTATTTTATAAAAAAAATTGAAGGCACTTTCTACACTGGGTGAGTTCCACCAGGTCTAGAAACTAAACTTCTTTTTTTAAGAAAAAAAATTAATTACTTTCTACACTGGTTGTATGTGAAACCGGTGTCAAAAATACTTTTTACACTGGTTATATGTGGAACTAGTATAGAAAGTGTCATATATAGTCATTTTATTTACAAAAATGCCACCACTCACACTTTTTACACCGGTTACTTTTAAACCGGTGTAAAAAGGTGGTGTAAAAAGTGTTTTTTATAGTAGTGTAGAAGGGGTGAAAAGTATAAAAACTTGTTCACAAATATGTAATATCTTGGCTAGCTGTGAGATTGATTGATGAATACCTATATATACTTATGATAATATAAACAAATATGTCATGTGACAACACTGTTATGTATAGTTGATCATTGTACATTCTATTTTTTTTTTAATGATAAATATCTAGTTGACAAGCCATGTGACATCTTAAACTTGATTTTGACATATGTCAATAACAACAATGTAGGAATGTTAACTGCTCCATATTATTGAACTTTAGAATGTCAATTACTCTTCTATGAATACTTAAGGCAAAATGCTCCTTAACCTAAATTTAAGCTGAAGTTTACTGGTCAAGGTCAACGTTCATTAGTGAAGAGACAATGTTGTAACAGTTTTGAAACTTAAAAGTTGAAATTGCTTCAATAAATAGTTTAGAATACCTGATGCTTCTCATGAAACAATTTATAGGGGGGAAAAAAGCTCTTAACCATAAATTAAATTCACATGACAGGCTGGAAAAGTAAAGAAATTATACGACTCATGGTTTCTGGATCTTGAATAGTATGGCCATCTCCATGCTGGTACATGCACAACGACATTCTTCCAAAGTTCATAGCAACTTGAATGAAACTATTCGAATAAGAAGAATTGCTGGCTTCCTTATTCATCTTCTTCCAAGTTTCAAAAATAATGGAATTTATATACTTACGAGCATCTGCTTCAGAAGATCCAGTTTCATTCATATAACACTCAATTGATTTAGGAATATCCCCAGTCTCCTTTTCACGCTGAAAAAAAAGTGAAAGATTATAAAAAAAAGTAATGAACTTATATTTCATGAATTAATTAATGCTTAATTAAATAATTGGATGTATATTGTTATGATACCTTAGATGTTCCCAAGTCATCGACAAGGCGTGAAATAATTGTGGAAGAATGAATAATTTTAGCATATTCTTCTAAGCAAACCATGTCATCTTTATTTTTTGAATTAGGAAGTGAAAAATATGCATGAACAAGTAGGATTGATCCACTTATTGAAACCCTTGCATTTTCTAGGTACTCATCAAAGCTTGGTTGATACCCACAATACTTCCATTTTGCCTCAACCAGATAGGATTTACAAAGATCAGCCCACTGAAAAAAAAAAAATTAAGTCCCACAATTAGTCCATAGAATAAAAGACACATGGATCAGGTTAACAGGTTTTAATATAAGGTTAAAAGATAATTTGTCTTATAAACTATAGGTTCGAGAGCGTATTGGACCCTAGACTCATTTTTTCTATAATATTCCCTCTCAACCTTCGAAAATAATATGTAGTGCAACTCTTATCATTAACAAAAGTTAATTTTGACTATTAGCTAACAAAAAAATGCTGGAAATGGACCAAGAAAATTATAGAAAAAAATAAGAATAAAAACGGACCATGAAAATTTTCTCAATCCATTTTCATAATTTTTGATATCCTTTGCTGTCATTTTTTGATCAATTAATGGTTGAAGTTAATTTTTGTTAACAGACAACATTACACAAAAAATAAACTAGAGTCCTAAATGCTCTTGAACATATAGTTTAGGGGTCAAATTACTGTTTAATCCTTTATTATTAATTAAAAAACCCAAAAACTAACTAAAACTATATCAATGCATACCCCTTTCGTAAAATGTGGAATAATGTTGCGCTCATTTTCTTTAAGGAAGTCAAAAGCAACTTCATTGACCGTGTTATAGAGTCCAAGGAAGCATATTTTCATGTAGTCTGGAAGATTATCCATAGCATTTATATCCCATCTGTAGTAGAAAAGGTACAAAAATGTTTATATTAGAATAATTAGAGAACAATTAATTACTATAATTAAACACAAATTGCTGACCTGTCAACCACTTCTGTGAAACGTTTCAGTTCTTCCAAAGTGCCATAAACATCATAAACATCATCGATTGTTGTTATGAGTGCATTAATCTTCGTCATCACTCTTCGAAAATATCCAAGCTGTGGTTCATGAGCAAAACCTATGGTCCAAAAGAAGTTTTCCACCAACCTATCCCTCGCGAAACTCAGCCTTTCTCGGAATCCAATTCTTTCCCACCATCTTTACATAAGAAATCCCAAACATATACATATTACGTTTAGCTTTTATATGTATATATGTATATATGTATATATGTTATCTTATATATATATATATATGCTGGCATTATATTATCGGGTTTGATTTGGGCATTTATTTGTTCTATGACTAAGTTGTGTGGGGGAAGTTACTAAGTGGTTTCATTCAGGGCTAAATGATAAATACAACCCTTAAACTAAAGGTCTAGAAGTGTATGGATCTTTAAACTTGTTTTTGGTGCAATTTTTTTTTTTAACTTTTCAAAATGGCATAATGTCACCCCTACCTTAACAAATATAATTTTGATTGTTAATTGACAAAAAATTATAGAAAAGAACTAAGAAAATATTTTTGGTTTTTCTTTTTAAATTTTTGAGGTTCTTGTTTGTAATTTTCTAGTCAGCTAATAGTTAAATTTAACTTTTAATAATAGTAGGGACAACATTGTACTGTTTTTAAAAAGTTGAAGGGGATAATTGAACTAAAAATAAGTTTAGGGTCTCTAATACAATGATGTTCCAGGACTCATATCTTAAGAAAATTTGTTAAAAGGCACAATCTTGTTAGGTTGAATTGCACAAAATAATTTTTTTAAAAAAATAAATATGATAGGATAAGATTAGCTAAAAAAAATTCACAAGTTCTGTAGAAATATTAGAATTAATATGCAGGATAAGTTTCACCTTGATGCATGTTTCAAATCTTCTTGGTGGATGGCTTGTACCATGTTGAAATCCAATTTAGCAAGCTTGAGCAAAGTAGGGATCATATTTGGTCTTCTTTCATAAACATTTATGAACCAATGGTTTTCCAATCTCGTTATCCTCCAATGCAGTGGAAGCTCTAGGGCATGATTAACTAAGAGTGATATTTCATTGTCCACGTTGGTTTTGTCCATCACAAATTCTTTAAGACATTTTGAGCTGAAATCCTTGGCTGCGTCCAATATTGTTTCACCTTCCATTGAGTAAAATGAAGCTTCATACAATGAGAGCATCCCCTTGATATCAATCGAAAGGTCAGAATGGAAATTGCCCTTGTTATCTAGAAACTCGTTAAACACATCTGCAATCAAAACCATAAAATGTTGACATATTGTTTGATTGTTAGAAGAGTAAATGAGCAATTGTCCCCTAAATTATTAGTCCAGAAGCATATGAGATTCTAAACTTTTCTTTATATAATATTTCTCTTCAAATTTTGAAAATGGAGCAATATTCTAATCCATATCATTGACAAAAATTAACTTTGACCATTAGGTAACTAGAAAATAACAGAAAAGAACATAAAAATTGTATAAAATGACCCAGAAATTAAAGTTAATTAAAGACAAGGACCCAAAAAATTACAACCCTTTTTTTTGTAATTTTTGAAATCATTTTCTGTCATTTTCTTATCAACTAATGGTTAAAAGTTGAAGGGAAATATTATAAAAAAAATAAATTCAGGGTCTCAAATGCTTCTATGGATATATAGTTTGGGGGCCAATTCTCTTTTACCCCTTTTTTAAATAAGCCAACTTAATAATTTGACAATCAAATAAATACCTAATGAGATATTATAACCATGTTGTCTTAAGAGTCTGAATTCAAGAGCTGTGGCATATAAATCTTTGTTCCTCTCTGATGCAAATGTTGCCCACTTCTTTGTTAAGTAGGAGAAGTTATAGGATCGAATCTCAAGGGTGTTCAATATATCAAACCCTTTGGAATTCGATCATTGGGAAGATATGGGGAAGGCTTACTATAGCAAACCCCCGCTTGAGTATATGGGCTTGAGAGAGTCTCACTTCCTGCCCCACCAGGAACACCCGGGGGGTTTTTCTTGACCAAGGGGGAGGGAAAACATGCATGTTTGAATGGGTGAACCTTCAGGTGTTTTGTCTGTTAGGTGAGGCTATGGTAGGTGGATGTAGTATACCTATTTACTATTAAATTCAAATTGTGATTAAAATTAAACAGTCATATTGTTAAAATATATGCAGAAACACTTCAAATTATTTATTAAAATTTTCAAGAAGTTAAGATTCTAAAAACTCAATCTCATTCTCATATTCCTCACTTGTTCTTTTAGTATTTTATCTAACTATGATCCATTTTAATTTATTATTTCGTAACATGAAGCAATCAATTATACTTCAATTCAATTTCTGTGAAGGTTAAAAAAAATCAAAGTGCTGCCTTATTAAATTCCAAAATTTCAACAACTTTAAGTAATAAAAACAGAAAGTCATTAAAAAAATCTAAGTAACTAAAAAAGTTTAAATTAAAGAAGCACGACCTAAATCAATATTTTTCACTATTTTTTTAATTGGCAGAATCTCTACTTAAAATCGAGACTTCACAAAATTTTGACAACATTAAACACAGAATATAATAGCCAACAACCAATATTATAATCATTTCAACAACAATAAACTAATTGACGGCCCAAAAATTTCAAATATTCGTTCTATGTCAATGTAACAGAACATTTTTTTTAATCAAATGCATAATTAACAACTAAACTATTAGAAAATGAATAGGAAGCACATTTTAGTAGGGGCAATAAAACGATAAGAGAGCATGAATGAAGAAGAAGAGAGGAAGACGAATATCATACCTTACTGGAGAGGTTCAAGAGGAAAACAGTGATGGAGACCACAAAGTACGACAATGATGGGGCCAAAAAAAGGAAAGTGGAAGAAAACCCACTTGCCCAATAAATTTTGATGCTGGGAATGGAGAAAAATGGGGGCTATTGGGGCACATATAGTGTTTTCGAACAGTAAAATGAGCGACCCAACGGGTGAGAAAATGAAAAAGACAAACTTTCTGCATTGGTTTTCGCCAAAACCGACAAAGAAAGTGTTATCCATGTCATTTTGGAGCTAAACGACGTGGGTGGCTTAAGTGAATATCTACATTGGATTTTATGGGTAGCCGACATACATTAAAGTTCAACTGTGTATGTTGGTTTTCTACTAAAATAACGTATAATCCTTAATTAAAGTTCAAATTATCTAAGTATGTGTCACGGCCTTTTTATTCTACATCGGTTTTAGCCCAACTGATGTAGGTAGGCGACGTTAATTCTATTTCTTTGCAGCGGTACTTACTGTTTATGAGGTGTATATGCAAATTTAGTAGTGTATTTTACAAAGTTTTCAAAGTATGTAGCTATTTTATGTCATATATCTAAATTGTTAGGTAAGAGCATTTGTGGGTGGGTACAACTTTGGGAGTTCTGTGTGAGTTGGATGAGGCTATGGACTGCCTAGTATATTGTTGCACTTTGCGAGTGTACGGTAATACAAAATAAGCAAAGTATTATTTTTCTAGATATCTGTATTAAAAATTTGGTCAAATAAAAAATATTGCAAATTTAATTAAGTTAAGAAAATCCAAAGTATGATTGGCATTTAAAATATAAATTAAATGTGTGAAAAAAATATGAAAACATTGAAAAGAAATTGATTTGGGACTTTTTGAAGGTAATTTGACCTAGGATTATTTATGCCCTTTGTACTTCAATAATGCTCATTCAACCCCCAATATATTTTCCTTTTAATGACGAATTATTCTAGTCAAGGATACTAAATTACTCACAAGTGCTCTCTTAAGTCTCAAAATAAGTGTTTAGTTTGATTAATCTCTTATTCTCTTAATTAACTAATTAAACATTACTTTTCTTTGCAAATCATTTGACTATGAGGCTAATGAATGCACTTCTACCTCATTAACACAACCAACCATTTAACTTGCAAACTTCAAGTTTTCACACAATCTAACTTAAGTTCTACACTTAACTTAGTTCTCTCAAATATCAAGTAAATGAATCCAACAATCTAATTGGTGATCAATTAACTGGAAGCATTAAGCATAAAGTAAAATTAAATCAACATAATTACATTATTAATCACAAACATAAAGGGTAAATGAGTGTTTAATCCATGCAAGGATTCAAAATAATCCTAGAATTAAGGGTTTAGCTACAAATGTTTATAAAACCCATTGAGAAAATTTATCAGCACAAACATTGAACAAGAGGAAAAGAAGTGGAGAAGGAAAACTTAGTATGAAGCTAAAATCTCTTCCAATATTTAAATCCTAGCCCAATCTTCGCAAAAATTCAAGCCCTAGCAAACCCAAAGCTTCACAAAAAGCTTCTGAATTAGAACATATATAGTGAATGATCATATGGATGATGTGGTTTTATTGTTAGATTCATTGTTGTGTTTGGGTAGTGTTATTATTGGGGTTAGTGATATTATTGTGAATTTATTAATGTTTGGAGATATTGTTGATTGTAGGATGTCTAGCCATTTTTGTTACTCTTAACTTTGTGAGACTGGTGATATAGCTAGTAATATGGTAGGTGATATTTTTATGTGGACTTGAATGTTGTTATCCACCTGTGTAGTTTATGGTTTGACATGCTATTGACTCCCAAAATTGGTTATGCTGAATTGTGGCTATGGGAGGTCAAGCGTGGTTAAATACCTAGGTCATAGAAGTGATTATTGTGTCCCAGTGTTATTGGCTAATAATCATTAATGAGATTACTTATTTTTGCTTTCATTTGTTTGATCACTCTGATCTTGTTGTTTTGAATGAGATCCCGTTTTTAAAGAGCTATCTTTTCTCTTGTAATCATGATTAAACATATTCTACTGTGATAATGATTAATTAGAGATATTAGCCTTAACTATCATGGTAACATTGTATCGCTCCTTTAGGTCTCCCCACACCATAAAATGGAGGCCGCGATCTCCTTTGAGATATATTAAGTTTATGAGACATGACAATGCGAAGGTGTTGCAATGGTCCCACTTGATTGCTTATCTCAAGTACGCGATCCATCCACAATCTCAGGTTTTTTTGTGTTAGGTGAGGCTAGGGTAGGTGGACGAAGTATATCTATTTAATATGAAATTCATATTGTTGTGATTAAAATTAAACAATCTTATTATTATAAAAAAATTAAACAATCTTATTGTTAAAATATATGTTGAAACACTTCAAATTATTCATTAAAACTTTCAAGAACTTAAGATTCTAAAATTCAACCCTTTTTTCATGTTCATCACTTATTCTTTTAATATTTTATCTAACTACGATTCATTGTATTATTACCTAACATAAAGAAATTAATTATGCTTCAATTCAATTCATTAATTTTACACTAGTTTTTACCACTAATTGGTATAGAAAGTGTAACTTTTTCCACTGGTTTTTGGGACAACTGGTGTAGAAAATGTTTCCCTAGCTTCCTTTTACTTGTCAACTCTTGAATGGCTTTTTACATTAGTTTTTCAACCGAGGTTAAAAGATAGCTTTTCACATTGGTTCAAAAACCTGTCTACACTCTCTCTTTTTACATCAGTTATGGAATCAGTGTAAAAAGATTTCTTTCTTTTTTTTTTTTCCTTCTTTGTGCAGTAATGATCTTTTAGTTGCAGATTTAGAGCACGCCTTGCCACTCGCAGCTCACAGTGCTCAGGTGCCATTATAACATCTCATCAAAACAATCTTCCAATGGTGGGATGTCATCATCATCACATTCATTCAAGCTCTTACTTTTATATCCCTACCTTACACGAGAAATCATAGTCTTCTTGTATCGACATAGAGATATGCCCAGCTCTCTGACACTTAAATCAACAAGTATCATTAGATTTAGAGAAGAGGATTTAGTGTCAAGGTTACCTTTGGTAACGATGTTACAAATAGGATTGAAATTAAAGTCAATTTGAGAATAGTTACCGCTAAATGCATGACCGGTGGTACCAAAGCTGAGTTGGAGGTTTCACCACCACACACAAAAGGGCGAGAAAGGTTACATCAAAGAAAGCTATAAGGTTATTAGTCACCAAATACATATGCAAAGAATCAATGAAAAATTAAGTGTGAATATGGCTGAAAGTCTCTACCAAATGGAAGTGTTGATTGTTGATTTCACGTATCTAATTATTGTTCTAGTTCTGTCTTGTGTCAAAAGAAAGCCCTACGCTGACCAAGTGAGAGAAGCTCCAAGTGTCTAAATAATGAGAGGTCTTGGACTAGGAGATGAGCTTGGAGGAAAAGTGACTCATGTATAAGCAAGAAGCCAACACAAGGAGAATGTTAAAAATAGCCAATTCTCTCTTTGTGTGAGTTAAATGCAGTACCAGTGGCAAAGTCAGGACCCAGAGCTAGAAGCTGCAAAATAATTTAATAAAAAATTAATATTTTTAAATAATACTTATGTTAGGACTAAATTTGTAATAACATAAATAGATAAATCATCATTTTTCATTTTAAAAAGAAATTATATTGAACATGTTGATATGGACCTTTATTGTAAATATGCTCTTCATATATAATTTAAATCATTAAAATATTATGTATCTAATAATTTTTGAGCTCAAATATTTTTTATTTATTTTAGAGGATGCAAAATATAAAAAGTAGGGGGTGCACAGTTGCAGAATTTACATGCCCCATTTGTAATTTTTCCCAAAATGAGGGTATTATTTTTGGAAAACCGGTGAGTTAATTGTGATAATGGTGTCCAACGTTCTACTTCAGATTTTCTTCCTATAAAAGGCAATGGTGATCGCAAATTCATATACCCACTCTGATGATAGTAGTTGGAAAAGTAATGACATTATATTATTACATGATTTTTAGTATCAAGATCTTGGAAGGTATGACCATCTCCATGCTGGTACATGCAAAGTGACATCCCTGAGAGGATCATAGCAATGTCAATGAAACTCTTTGGGTATGAAGAATTGCTTGTATTCATCTTCTTCCAAAGTTTCATATATCAATAAATTTAAGTGCCTACGTGCTTCAGCTTCAGAATTTTCAGTTTCACTCATGTAACATA